AGCATCAGGCTGGGGTCTCTAGCATCACCTTGCACCTGCCTCCTGAGCATCCTGTTTGCTGTCCCCCTAGACATGATCTATTTAATATATTCGGCAGCCCCCCAGCCCACTGGGCTCAAAGGTTTCTGCCCTCTGCTTGTGTCTGTTCTAGGATAGGAAGGATGGCCCAATGGTTAGAGCCCTTGCTTGGAACCCGGGAGACCTGTGTTCAAGTCTCTGCGCTACCACAGATTCCTCGGGTGAGTCTCCCTGTGCCTCAGTTTCCCATCTATACACTCTGCATAAGAGCCCTGCCCTGCCTCCCAGGGGAGTGGCGAGGAGAAATGGCCACCCCTGGAGTGAGTGTCAAGCCTGTGGGAAGGGGCGAGCTCGCTCAGTTCTGGCTAGCTGGCAAGGAGAGCAGCCCAGAGGGCGAGTGGATTGGCAGCCTCAGGGCGGCAGAGAACTGTGACCTGGCTGGAGGGCTGAGCCATAGACTAGCCGAGTGGGCTAGAAACAGTGGGGAGGAAACTGAGCAGCTGCCATCGCGGGGTGGGGCTCAGCGTCTGGCTTGGCTGCTTCCCCAGCCAACCAGGGAAGGTCTCTGAGGCAGAGCCCTGGGAAGCGAGTGAAGAGATGCACACCCCGAAGTCGTCCTTTGGCCAGTCGCCGCTCCCACTCCCTGGGTTTGACCGGACGCCTTGAGGTGCAGTCGAGTAAGTGGGTAGCAGGGCCTGTTCCTGGTTTCGCTGGTGTCTGCTATAACCCAGCTCACCACACTTCACCCCCTGCCCCGCCCTGCGTTGTACCTGGAAAGGGAACTGCCCCAGGTCAGCTCGAGGGGGAAAGGAACAGCAGGGCCCACGCGCCAGGCCTCTGGGAGCTGCTGTGTGGCCGCCTGTGACCAGCAGGGCTTAATAAACCGGACACATTGCTCGACTAACAAAGCGGGGAAGGTAATTGAGTCATAAACTGACCCACGCTGGCAACCACAATTGCTTTGCGGTTCCCCAATAGCTAATTAGGGACCTAATGAGGGGGAGAGTGGAGGAACCTGCCAGCGGTTCCCCCAGGGAAGGTGAGGAAGGCCTGGCCATGGTGCTGAGGCAGCACCTGCAGCCTGGGTGGCCCAGACTGAACTCTGGAGCTTTCCAAGTGGGGCCGAACGGGGTGCAGCAGAGCACCAACCACCTGTGACTGGATGCTGCTTTCGCTGCTCCCCTCCACTGGCCCTGGCTGCTAGGGCAGAGCCTACAGCTTTCCTCCACCCTGCCGCTTCGGGCCTTTGCACAAGCTGTTCCTAGGTTCGTTATTTCCTCCCCAAACCCCACAGAGGGAAGGCCTCTGGCTCTCCCTTCCCTGAGCCCGATTCTCCTCTTGTGCCGGTGGGAGTCGGCGTAACTCGGCTGCGGTCAATGGTGTTACAGTGGCAAAGGCAAGGGGAGGGAGGAGAATCAGCTCCTCATTCTCCTCTGGTGACTGGCAGGTGCTGATCTTCAGGGTTCCAGCCTCGCTCTTCACTTGGCCTTACACGGGAATGGCCATCCTGGGTCAGCCCAATGGTTCCCCTAGCCCAGTACTGTGTCTCAGACAGGGACCGGTGCCAGACGCTTCAGGGGGAATGAACAGAACGGGACAATTTATTGAGTGATCCATCCCTGGTTGTCCACTCCCAGCTTCTGGTATAGGGACACCCAGAGCACGGGGTTGCGTCCCTGACCATCTTGGCTATTAGCTATTGATGGATCTATCCTCCGTGAACTCATCTAATTCTTTCTTGAACCCAGTTATAGTTTTGGCCTTCACAACATCCCCTGGCAAGGAGTTCCACAGGTTCACTGTGAATTGTGTGAAGTAGTACTGCCTTTTGTCTATTTTAAGCCAGCAGCCTGTTAATTTCATTGTGTGACCCCTGTTTTTTGGGTTATGGGAAGGAGTAAATAACACTTCCTGATTCACTTTCTCCACCCCAGTCATGATTTCATAGACCTCGATCATCTCCCCCCTTAGTCGTCTCTTTTCCAAGCTGAACAGTCCCAGTCTTATTAACCTCTCCTCATACGGAAGCTGTTCCAGCCCCCTCATCACTTTTGTTACCCTTCTCTGAACCTTTTCCAACTCGAGTATCTTTTTTGAGATAGGGCGACTAGAACTGCACGCAGCATTCCAGGTGTGGGCAGACCAAGGATGTACATAGTGGCATTACGATACTTTCTGTGTTCTCTCTCCCTTGACGTAGGGGCTGCTTTGCTGCCTCGTGGGTGCTCGGAGGCGCTAACGCTTCTCAGCTTGCCAAGCGCTGCAGGGAAACAAGCTAGTAAAACGTGGGCTGAACTGGGAGCACCTGGCGTGTTTCCAACCTGCCTTTGGTAAATGATCCCCCCCACACACGCTGCTGGGTGCTGGCATCTTACAGGAGGCTGAGAAAGGGAAATCCTGGCTCGTGGTGGGGAACAGATCCTCCTTGGGAATGGGGGTGGCTCAGAGAGGGAGATTGTCACGTACCCCATGCTTGGGCTGCGGTGACTCACAGTCCCTGCTAGACAATGGGTCCTTGGCGTATGGGAAACGAGTCGCTCTGAGTCCAGGTCCTAGCTGACAGATGCCCTCCACTGGCAAGAAACACAACCACTCTTCACCCCTTCCTTGGCTTCATGGCCAAGGGCATGCAGGCTGAGTTGCCCTCTTCCCAATCCAGGTAGCTGCTGTGGGCAGGGCCTGCCATGCCCCTTAGGGCTGGCACATTGAGGAGCTGGCTCAGATACTTGCTCCTGGGCAGACAGAGGATTTGCTCCCCCAAGCGGTCACATGGAGCAAGAATAGCCATCAGCCCCTGCACGGTTCTGGCACCGTCTAGCTCCAGTACGTTCTGATGAGCGACTTGTTGCGTTCATAACTAGGGAAGTTGCCCTAAGGGCAGAGAGCGAGCAGGGGAAGAGAGGAGGTCGCCGAGTCTATTAATTAAAAAGACAATGCGAGAGGAAAGAGTGACTCGGCTCACAGGTTGTATTCACGCACCTCACACTTTACTCCTCTGAAGCCTGGTGCGAACATACACGCGCACTGCTTGTGTGTGACGCTGCAGGAGATCCTGTGCTAGCAGCCGGGGGAGGAACACAGAAGCTGGGCTGGGTGGAGCGTTAGAGGGAAGTGGCAGGTTTCTGCACAGCCCCCCCAGATGCTTTGGATAGGCCTCTACCATGGGGCAAGGGAAAGGGGGCTGAATTTTCAGCTCTCTCCCACCCCCCCCACCCCCCCAGTCCAGGCAAAGTGGCCTTGGGCTTGGAATTCACATTTCCTTATATGTACTGCCAATTGCCTGCCACGCCCTCTCTTGGATGATATCAGTGCTCAACTGTATGCTAGACCCTGTACTGCTAACAACAGATAGAGATTCTCCTTCAGCCACTGCTGGAGTCCTTAAAAGAGAAGAGCTGGAACACAGGGCTGTCGAAGGGAGCAGAGGACACTGAGAGGATGATGGGGGGAGCTGGTGAGGATTTGCAGTGATTTGCCCCAGAGCCCATCCCATCCCTGCCTCCCCCCACCTGTGCCCAGCTCCTACTCCCAGCGGAGGGCGCCAATGTCTGGGGAGCCCTGCTACCCAGCTCCCCACATCACCTGGCTCCAACAATGGCTCTGCCCCAGGTTCCCAACAGCTCCCCGTCCGCTCCCACCTGCAGCATCCCTGGCTCCCACTGCTGGCACCAGCAGCTACCAATGTCGAGGACGTGGGGCGGAAAAGGGACTGGCAGAAGCCCTGAAATGCTGTTCCAGCTCCTAAAAGAAGCGCTGGAATGGTGTAGAGGAGTGTTCTGGCACAACGCGAGCGCAGCCTATCACCAGGGGAAAGGGGGCTACGCCCTGGCCGATTTCTCTCTTCGCGGCTGTTGGGAAGTTCTGAGCAGCCCTGGGAGGAGGAGAGCCCAGAGCATGAAATCCAAAGTAGTCGTAGGTTTGTCACTAGCCAGCTGACACCGCTGCACGGGTGACTGCAGGGATTTGCTTTGTGATGAAACGGGGCCGCTTTCGTGTGGGGAGGGAGTGGGCGTGTGACAGTGCAGAGATGAATCTGAAAACTCAGCCCTTTGAGTAGCGAGACAGATTCAGCTGCATGAGGGACTGGGAGTTCCTGCTTTGATAGGTGTCGGAGTTGCCTGGCCTCTGCTGCTGGCTGACTGGTGATGCCGGGGGCAGGACGCTGTTCCCTGCCGACTCCTGAAAGCATTGGCCCCCCTGTCATGCGACAGGGAAAGTGAGGCATGACTTGCCTAGGCTCTGAGAGGGAAACCGGGTCAAAGCCAGGACTAGAATTCCCAAGGAACTGCCAGAGTGGCTCGGCCCTCTGGTCTGTCTAGTCCAGGATCCTAACTCTGCCGGTGGCCTGTACCTGATACTTCAATTCAGTTTAAGCCCTGAAGCAGGAGGGTTACCTCCTTTCCCAAGCACTCGGTTTGCTCTAAATCTATATTATTGTCCCTCTGGCTGTCCAGACCTTTTTTTTAAAATTCCACTGACCTCTTGGCTTCCAGGAAACTTTGTGGCAATGGGTTCCCTAGGGTAATCAGGCCTTGTGCAAAAAAGTATTTCCTTTCTAGCTTCTTTAAACATGCTACCCTTCCATGTCACTGAACATCCCCCGGCTCTCATATTGAGAAGCTGTTCCTGGCTCCAGTAAACCAGCTCAGGGTACTAAAACTCACCTCTTTCCTTATGACCTTTTGGCCTCTCTCTAGCTAAGCAGGTTCACGAGCATCTTTCCTCCTCTCATCCATCCATCTATCTGTGTGTATAGAAATCTAGGACTGGGCCAGACCAAAGCCTGGGCTCCTAACCCCCATGCAGTTTGCCGGGGCGGAGGGAGGTGTTGGAGTCTCAAAGCAGCTCAAGTACTGCAGACGTTTTGTACATCTCTATAATCGGCCCAACCAGAACCCCTGATCTAAACCGCCCTGCGCTAGGGGCTGCTCATCGCTCCGTGTTCTAGGCCGTGAACATCTACATAATGAACAAGAGGGAGAGAGTTTCTGAATGAACGATTTATTCTTCGAGAACGTTACAAGTAATTTACAATGAGAGGCTAATGCCTTCTGCTGCTGGCTTGCTTGGCCCAGGTTCCTTCGCCTCCTGGAGCCACGGCTGGGGCTGAAACCCACGATCTAGCTACCTTCCAGCATTTCCCCCCATCCAGCGAGTGCAGCCATGAGGCCAGCTCAGGGCTACACCCCACATTGGCGGGGAAAGCAGCCAGCTGTGCAGCCCCAGCCCCTCCCCCTTATGGGGCAATTCTCTGCTGTTCAGCAAGAAGGGGAGGAAGCCCCAAAGCAGGCAGTTGTAGACTGAGTAAACTGGGCTCTGCAAGTACCCAGCGGAGACCAGGCCTCGGGTTATACTCACCCCTACAAATGGCTTCTCAGGGCGCCGAAGAAAAACAAACACCAATACTGATAAACACAAAGGCTTGAAATACAAAGGGCGACAGGGTTTTAGTTCTGCAAATCCAGGCATGAATTAAAACAACAGCTCCCTGGGTTTATGCTGAGCTATACAAACTCACGTGGATACAAACATCACCCCCTGTGTGGCAGCATGGGGCTTTGCGTTCATGCTGGAGGGGCTCTGGCAGTTGGAGCACATCCTCTTGTAGGCCCATGCTTTGGTCAGAAATAAATCTGGAGCGAGGCCAGGACCCGAGCATCTAGGAATTCTGCAGGGGTTTGAGATGTGGGCTGGATCCCAATTTTGCAAATGGCTCGCTGTTCATAATGGGCTGAACCAGAACACTGGATCCAAATACTCCCGATCTTTGCATCCAGATCCAAAATTTGTGGCTGCAGCCCCTCGCTAGTAAAACCAGATCAATCATACAGGCAGTAAGTATGTATGTGGGGGTAAAGTCTAGCTAGTCTAGCTACTCCGTCTTCCCCGCTCGCGGGCCCAGGACAACTTAAACTCCGCTCACAGCATTAGCTGCCCTCGTCTCACCCCAGTTCTCACCTTCAGATGGCCCTTTGCCGAAGAGCTGTTCTGAGGAGGGAGGGTGGAGCTCTGCAAGCAGCTCTTCGCTCCCCACGACTGTCTGGACAAACGGGCCACCAAGCCAACTCTGCCTGCATCGGCAACCTTTGATCTCATGCTAGCTCTCTGGGGCAGGAGTTTCTCCTGGAGGCTTTCCCCTCATTTAGGAGAGGGTGGAGAGATTCTCTAGTGCATTCATTGATCTGGAAAATGCCAGCATTCTAAGGGTTAAATAGCCAGCAAGAGCCCCGCTCTCTTTTCTGTGCAGTGCTCAGTGATCTCCGATGAGACCCACGTGAAACCTGCAGCTGCCTTGCCGGGGCGTTGATGCTGGCTGCGACACAGTGTCTGGTGAGCACAGCCCTGGCTGGTCAGACACTGGGCTGTTTGCTGCCTTGCGATTGGGACCTCTGCCCATGAGCGAATCCAACCAAAGATGCTCTAAAGAGGCACCTGGTGCTGAGGAACCAATTCCGACTGCTCTTCCCGCCAGGCAGCATCTTCCCTGCACACCCACTCCTCTTGCCTGGTTAATTCGAGCCAGGTGGAAACACCTCCCTGATGCAAAGGGCACGTAAGCTAAACTGTTCAGTGGTACACAGGATTTGCCAGACTGGATCAGACCCCAGGACCATTTGGTCTGGTAGCCTGCCTCTGGCAGTGGCCACTGCCATATGCTTCAGAGGACGGTGTAGGAACCCCCACGGTAGTAACTCTTTATATTCCTGTTATCCATACCCAGTCTCTTTTTGAATCTTACGTTCTTCACCTCAGTGACTTCATGTGGCAGTGAGTTCCACAGTCATCATGAGAAAAAGGACTTCCTTTTATCCATTTTGAATTTCCCACCTTTCAGTTTCATTGAGTGTCTCCTTGTTTCCATGTTACGAGACAGGGAGAACAGAAATTCCCCATCTACCTCCTCTGCAGCACGGCTGCTGGTTTGTTAACTGCCTGCTGTTTGGTTGTGAAGTTGTATGGATTTTTTTTCCCCATCCAGCGTCAGGACTTCCTCCAAGGCTGGACACAGGAAGCCAAGCTCCACTGATGAGCTCAGAGCTCAGTGCCCCAGCCTTCCAAGAGATGCTAGCAAACCCTCGGGAAAACAAGGGAGTCTATTTCGGGATCTGTGATCCCTGCCTGGGACTGGCTGCCTCCCCACCAGGCTGCAGTGGTGGGAACCAAGCCACGTCAGAGCATCTACGCACAAAGTGGGGGCTGGTTTGATTCCCCTGGATCACCTTTGTGCTCCCTGAACTTTCCCTCACCCACGTGTGCTCTGTGAGAGCCAGCGCTGGACACTGATGCAGAACGGATCTGGATTTTGAGCCCAGCCTCCCCTGTGTATGGGGCATGTCTGTATACGGAGACAGGGGAACCATGGAGCCGGGTGGGAGGGGATCTACACCACACTGAAGTAGAGCTCGTCCCCGTTCTCTCCCTTGCTCCGTGGCGGTGGCTGCTGCCGCTTGGGGAGAGCCATGTTGCTCACCGGTGGAGGCTGTTTGTCTTCCTTGTGGTCCTGGAGCTGGGGGGTGGGCGGCAGGGGCTCCCTCGCCAGGCTGTAGCTGGCCGTGGCCATGTACAGGCTGGGGGGCGGTGGCTCCCCCCCGCACTTGCACAGCCGCTTGAAGGCGGCCCGGAACTTCTGGGACATGAGGTTGTAGACGACGGGGTTGATGGCGCTGTTGGCATAGACGCAGAGCCGGCAGAAGAGGACGAACCACGGGTTCAGGAAGGGGTTGTCCATGAAGGAGTTCACCAGCACCAGCGTCCGGTAGGGCATCCAGAGCAGGGCGAAAAGGATCACCACCACCGCCAGCATCTTGGTGACCTGCAAAAGGCACACGGGGGGAGTCACTGGTGCCTTAGATGCGTCACCATGGGGACATTTCACCTCCCTTGGAGACCAATTCCCAGACCCCATGGGAATTCCACAAAGCCCGTGGGCCGGCAGCCCCAGCTCAGTTGACTCGCCGTAGCTGAAGCGCTCCCTGGGCAGGTCCCCGTAGTCACAGTCACCAGGGTCAGGCCTGGAGCCACGTCACACCCTCCCCAACCCAGCCCGTGGCTGTTGGGCCTGCAGGACCTGCTGGCTCAAAGCTGTGAGGGCAGGGAAGGACAGGGGTGGGATTCAGCATCCTCCCATGGCTTTGTGTTGTCTGGGGAGCTGCCAGAGCAGGGCCGCAGGCTTTGCACTGACTGCTCGGCACCCAGCTTACTGTCTGCAGCCGGCGCTCCTGCTTTCACAGAGCCAGGAGGTGGGAACCCAGCCAGGCATCCCCAGGCATGCAGGCATCCCTGAATGTCCCCGTGCCAAGGCGTGGGGGACCTGCCTGAATCCGGCAGGCTGAGCAAGCTGCCTCCTCCGGTCTCCCACAGGTGCACAGCAGGGAGGAATTAAACCAGCACTGGTGACTGACAGCCCCCTCTGAGCATTCCCAGGAGCTCTCTGGAGGCAGCTGAGAGAGAGCCCCCCAGCCAGTGACCAGAGGGCTGGGCTGTACTCAGGCCTTCGGGGGCGGGAGGCGTCTCACCTAGAGTGGGGAAGGAGACCGGCCAGGGAGGCCTGCCAGCTGCCCCAGCACCATCCCTAGGGACACAGCAGCACTGTCTCCAGGATAGGCAGCTCCGGCACCGGACAGGACAGGAGCGCTGGGGCGGGGGGTGGATTGGCTGAAGCGTCTCTTGACGCTATGAGCTACTGAAATCAGCCCGATGCAGGGAGGGCCAAGTGAAGGCTGGTTTTCTATGACTCACTCCCAGAGAGCCACAGGTTCCACGCCCAGCACAGCTCTGCCAGCGTTGGGGCAGGGGAGGGCAAACTACAGCCCGCGGGATTGCCAGCCCCATGGCGCAACGGGGCTAAGGCAGGCTCCCTGCCGGCCCTGGCCCCCGCTCCACTTGCTGAAGCGGCCGGCACCACATCCCTGCGGCCCCTGGGGAGAGCAGAGGGTCCCCCCCCCCACAGCTCGCATTGGCCGGGAATGGGGACCCTTGGCCAATGGGAGCTTTGGGGGTGGTACCTGCAGGCGAGGGCAGCGTGTGGTGGAGCCGCCTGCCCCACCCCACCCCCAGGAGCCATGACCGGACATGCTGGCCACTTTCGGAAGCGGTGAGGAGTCAGGGCAGGCAGGGAGCCTGCCTTAGCCCCGCTGCGTGCTGCTGCCACCCTGGAGACACTCGAGGTAAGCGGCGCCGGGCCGGAGCCCACACCCCAAAGCCTCCTGCACCCTGTGCCCCGATCCCCTGCCCTGAGCCCCCTCCAGCACCCCGCACCCCAATCCCCTGCCCTGAGCCCCTTCCTGCACACCGCACCGCTTCCCACCCCCACACTCCCTCCCACACCCCAACCCCCTGCCCCAGCCCTACATTCATGCCCCTGCATACAATTTCCCCACCCAGATGTGGTCCTCGGGCCAAATAGTTTGCCCATCCCTGCATTAGGGGCTGGCTGGAGCACAGCTGTGGTCTGGGGTCAGTGATCCCCTGAAAATCCATCTTTCCCTGAGCATAGGCTGGGCGAAACCCAGCTGAGAGCCTGGCAGCTGCCCACCGCAGGCAGGACCAGGCCAAACCAGAGAGAGCCGGTAGCACACGGGAGACAACGCCGATCTCAGGGCCCCTTCTTCTCACAGCCCCTTGTTTCCTCAGCTTCTCTTCTCCGCTTTGAGCACCTGGGAAACGGAGTGTTTGGGGAGGTGAAGGATTAATAGCCAGGGTTGGTGTGTGCGCAGGTTCTGGTCCAGGGTCCCCACCCTCACCCTCACTTTGCCAGAACGAGTCACATTCCTGAACTGCAGCGCTCTTTATTATCCCAGTCCCCAAAACCCACCCTACCCTACCTTCCCACCACCCCTAAACTCCTGCCTGTGCCCCTCGATCCCACCCTGCAGCCCCCTGCTAGCCCAGCCCTGGGCTCCTCCGTCTCTCCCACACTCGCTTTTGCTAGTGCACCTGTGTCCTGATTTGTAAAAATCCTCCAACCGGCCGCTTCCCTAGAATGAGTCTATGAGGTGCTGGTTTATTTCAGCCCTTTTTCGCAACATCCCCCATGGTCCTAATGTTATTCATGGGCTCCAGAAAGACAATCCCATCTCTGAGAGGATGATTAAATCCCTGCGGCACACCGGCCTGGATTCGCTCACTATTCATTGTGTTGGGCCTGAATAATTTCCTGTCAGCCACAGTTAGGTTATCAGAGATGCATATCCCCCATTAGCAGATTTGATGGCTTGTTTTATATTGAGTGGAGTCACAGGGGAGGAGAGAGAGCAGAGCAGAGCCCGCATGTGGGGTTCAAAACAGAACTGGGTAAGTCCATGGAGAATAGATCCATCAATGGCTATTAGCCAGGCTGGGCAGGGACGCAATGCCACAGTCTGCATCTCCCCAGCCCCTGACTGTCAGAAGCTGGGATTGGACGACAGAGGATGGATCACATGATGGTTGCCCTGTTCTAGTCATTCCCTCTGAAGCACCTGGCATTGGCCACTGTCGGAAGACAGGACACTGGGCTAGATGGACCATTGCTCGGACCCAGTATGGCCATTCTTATGTGGAACATCTGTATCTTCTACTAAGGTGGTGACAGCCCCTCCCCACAGTACCATCTCAGTAGGAAGGACTCTCCTGTATTCCTGGCTCTGGCTCATTAACATTGCCCAGTGGCCACAGGGTTGCCCAGATTGCCCACATCACCACAGGGTTGGCATGTGAGAACATCTGAGGTGATTCCCCCCCACCGGGCATCCTGCCATGGCAGGGCATGTGCTGTGGGACCGCAGCTGGCAGGGGAAGACCACACTGAGAACAGACCCAGCAGGGCTGGCTTTGGGTAGCCCATAGGGAAGAAGCCCTCTGGGGTCCGCCGAGGCCTTGCAAACTCCAACATTCCCCAGCACTTTCCGATTGTTGGTCAGTGAAGGTGAGGACCCGAGACCCGATCCCACTTTCCTGAACACCCAGGACTGCTTAGTGACTTCCAGGCAGGTTCAGGACTCAAGCATGGAATCGCTGGCTGATTTTAAAGCGGGGCTACCACCAAGGGCAGCTGACTCTGCTCCCCCCGCCTTCTGAATTGAAACCTGCCAGTCGGTCACAGCTGCACAGGGAGAGAGTTGAGTCCAGTCTCCCTTGTCTGGTGGTGGCCGCTCACTAGCTATGAGGTGACTCCAGCATCTCTGGCTGGTGGTGATGACCGCGAAGCAGGGTGCTCTGTCACTGGGCTGGGCTTGCAGCATTGCCAGTTAGAAAAACACCCGCTCCTTTGCTTTGCCAATAGCATTCAACTGATCTGGTCATCGCTGAGGAAGAATAACTGTCAAGGCTCAGCCAACAGGGACCCTTTGCGTCTCTGTAGCAATGCAGGCAACGACAGAAGCAGCAGGCTCAGTGCAAAACATGGGGATTTGGCAAATGAATGACAGAGCCAGAGAGTTGCTTCTAAAGCCACTCGTGGGGCTTTCGTTCCCCCCAAGGCACCTGGGAGCCTGTAACTTGATTTTTAAGCACACGAGGTGCATAGCTCCTGGGCAGCAGATAATTGCATGTGCAAATGCTCATCGCCTCTTGTGCCTGGAGTCACTGGATCTCTCCGTGCAACTGTGTCAGCAAAGCAGGCATGCAAATGTGCAACTGATTTCTTGGGCAGTTGCACGTTTAAAAATCAACCCCTGAATATGCAGCTCTGGGCACTGGAAAATGGGCCCTAGCAGGCAAGGAAAATCCATTAACTGCCTCCCGAGATCACTCCAGGAAGTGGGAAAGGCAATAGCCATGGATGTGTCTCTGAAGGGTGCTAGCACCCAGGAGGGAGACCCAATTAGGGACTGACCCAAGAAGCTAGACTGACTCTGAGGTGTGACTGGAGGATAGAAACATTTAGGAGGCTTTGTGACAGTGAAATCTCTTAGGGAACCATCTCCCAAGAGGAGGGATGGGAGCCTATGGCTTGGAACATTTAAAACGGGAGCAGCCAGAGACCTCCCTGATAGACGTGCTCTGGCCACAGGGCAGTGCTTGAGGAGTAAATGACCTAATGGGTCCTGTCTCCACCACTCTTCTTCACCGACCATAGGGTATGCTTCCCGCCCCCGGTCCAGCTCCCTGCACGCTGCCTGGGTGCCACACTCAGCATTTCGCTGGCCGCTGCCTAGTCCTGCCCACCTGGGTTACAAATTGGGTAGCTGGGCATTATTAGCAGGAGCAGAAACTCGAGCTGCCCCTTGCATGCTGAGACTGTCCCCTGTTCATTGCATACGTCCACACACACGCACACACGCACCCCCCTCCCTCCTAAGTTTCAGTGCAGAAAAGAAGCGTTTGTTCGGTTGCCTCGCTGGGCCCTTTGGCTCGGCTGCAATGGGCTGCCCGGGAACGGGGCCATGGTGGCCCTGGAGGCGGAGGTCTCCGAACCCGGATTGACTGAGGAGCTGTCCAAAGTCAGATTGACAGCCCCCTTCATGCCACAGCAGCAACACCAGTCCCAGAGCTAAGTTTCTTGCCAGCCTGCTGGCCCTGAGCAGAAAGAAGTTCAGTGGGTGGCGGCCAGACGGGGGGTGGGTGTGTGTGTTTGTGTGTGTCAGGGCACCAGTGTAAATCAAGTCATGTCCTTAACTTCACCATGGGCTTGACCCTGCGTGCCTATGCCAAGGGAGGCTGGGGGTGATGGGCAGAGTCCTAAACCAGGTGTCCTGTGGTCACTAAACCACTAGGGCAGAGATCCGCAAACTGTGGAGTGAGCCCCCCTACGGGGGGGGCGCGGAGGAACATTCGGGGGGGTGCGATCAGGCCCAGGCCAGCCCCCATAGGTGAGGGGGGAGGGAGTGCCACCCAGCTCTGCTCCTGGCCCCATCCCCAGCTGCTGGCCCCAGCCTTGACCTCCTTACCTCTGTCTGCATCTCCCCACCCAGAGCCATGGCCCCACTCCCGGCCCAGTTCCAGGGGCGGGGACAGAGGTTAAGGGGAGCGTGAGGTAAAAAGTTTGGGGACCACTGCACTAGGACCCAGCTGTTCCCCAGAGAAGGGGATGCTACGTTTCCACTCCAGCCTCCTTTATCCCAGCACTTGCCATCTTCCCCTTTGGTCTCCCGACAGTCTGACACACGGCCACCTGCCTGTAATGTCCCCCTGGCCAAGCCTGTCTGCCTCCAGGTCCCTGGGCATGGGGGGTGGAGAAGGCTGACCCATGGTGGCATTAGGAGGATGCTGTCAGACAAAGGACAATGGCTGGGAGTTTGCCCCATTACCTGCCCCCACCTCATGTCCAGCCCCTCAGAGCCCATCACTGTCACCAGTGTAAAGCGAGATGTGCCCCCTCCCTCATCCCCAAGGCTCAGCATGCGGTGTGGGGCATGCACATTGCCAGGGGAGTTGGAAATCCCCGGCCCCCTTAGGGCCCAGCAAAAGGCCAATGCCTGAGGCTTAAGTCGGGCAGAGTCTGGCACCGGACTAGGAGGCCTTGTGCTGGGCTCCTCCAGAGGGCTGCTCTTCCCCTTGAGAGTCCAGCCAGACCGGTTCCCCTCCTGTGGCTGGCTGTACTCAGCTAGACACTCAGGAGTGGCCGGGCATGTCCGTCGGTACAGAGGGTGCCTCCTAGCCCATCCCAGCCTGGCTGTACCGGGCAGTGTCTTCCTCCTTTCAATAAAGACGCTCAGGTCGCCTTTCCCGGGGGCCGCCACCCCACGGTTTGCATGCACACCGTCCGGTTTTCCCCGGGCAGCATTTACCACGCGTGGGTCAGGACCCTGCTGTGAACCTGGTTACGCTCGCCACCCGGGGAGCTCTCCATACCTGCTTCCGGGAGGACAGAGCCCCTCTGGTCCTGGAGCGGCTGCTGGGCTTGCTCTCCCGTGTGTCCACTCCGTTCTTCTCCCTCCCGCTCCTCTCCCTCCAGGGCTTGGCGGTGGAGTCAGCTTGGTGGGGGATGGGGCTGGCGAAGAGGATTCTCCCGATCAGCCCGTAGAGCATGGTGGCCACAACCAAGGGGGTGACAAAGAAGAGGGCAAAGTCGAGCAGGTAGATGGGCAGGTAGAGGTTGCGGGAGACCTTGTAGCCACACTCCAGGTGCTGGCTCTTGTTGACATTGATGTCGACCAGGAAGAACCAGAGCATGCAGTAGATGGAGGTGCAGATCCAAACGAAGGCAATGATGCGCTTGGCCCGGGATACTGTGCACATGGTGTGGGCGCGCATTGGGTGGCAAATGGCGATGTACCTGGGGACGGGAAGGATAGAGCCATGACACTGGCCAGGAGGAAAGAGCTAGGCAGGCAGGGTGGGGCAGAGGTGACTCATGGCAGGCAGCAAGGGGACACAGAGGCCTCCTACAGCAGACTCACCTGGAACCACCTGCATGTTCATACTCGTGCTGCAATTACACCTTTCACCCCCCCAGGGGCTGCTGTGGGCACCAGAAGAGAGGGCAGCTGGAGGAGCACCCAGCCATGGAGAGGGAGGGGGCACTTTGGCCTCCCCGCACAAAGGGTCCAGTGCCCTTGTTTTGAATATAAGCTCTTGGGGGGAAGGACTTGTCTCTTACTATGTATTTTTGTTAGAGCACCCAGCACCATGGCGCCCCGAGCTAGGGCCGAGCCTCTAGGTGCTACTGCTGTACAAATGTCCCATGTCCCTTCTCGCTCCTGGGGCCATTTAAAGGTGTGCTAAATGAAGGGGGGGGCGGTAGCTCCCTTTTATGGACACCCAGCCAGCCAGTTAGCTGTAAAGTCCCTCTTGGTGGCTGTTCTCTGCTTGCTTTACCTGTAAAGGGTTAACAAAGTCCCCCAGGTAAAGAAAAGGGTGTGGGCACCTGACCAAAAGAGCCAATGGGAAGGCTAGAACTTTTTAAAAATGGGGAAAAAAGCTTTCCCTGTGTGTCTGGGTTGTTCTCTCTGAGCTGAAGAGATGGGGGCAGCAGGAATGCTGTGTAACCAGGTATGAAAAATTATCTTCCATGCCTAGAAGGAGTTGTTGGGACAGGGAATGTTTAGATAGACGTGATCAGGTTCATTTCTTTGTTTTGTCTCGTGGAGTCCCCTGTGCTAAGCTCAGGTATTTTTGTTTTTCTTTTGTAACGTTAAGCTGGACCCCAGGGAGCCATTCCTGATGTTTAAGCCCTTTTCAGTTGCTCTATAAAATCTAGCAATAGCCTGAATTTCCAGATGTTTCCTTTCTTCCTTTTTTTTTAATAAAATTTACCTTTTTTAAAAACCTGATTGGTTTTGTGTCTTAAAATTTCTGCGCATATGTTTTTCCATTAGCTGGTGGTAACAGCTGGGTTTCCCTCTTGTTTGTTTTCTTTCTCGGCTTCCCTGAGGGAGAGGTGGAAAAGCCGAGGGGCTTTTTCCCAAGTGAGTTCTTCCAGGATTTGCAAGAGGCAGTTTTTTCACTTGGGTGGTGGCAGCGTTTACCAAGCCAAGGTCAGAGAGAAGCTGTAACCTTGGGAGTTTACTACTAGCCTGGAGTGGCCAGTATTAAATTTTAGAATCCTTGCGGGCCCCCACCTTCTGCACTCAAAGGGCCAGAGTGGGGAATCAGCCCTGACAAAAGGCTTACAGCTGGACTTTCCCGCCCCCCGTCGGCCCAATGGAAAGAGCTCCCTGAAATGCTCCCGGGGCACTATTTGAGCCACATTCAGCAACAAAATAACAAAGGCAATAAGCAAAGCACAGGGCTGCTGGGAGGCGGTTTTCTTGGCACTTACTAAAACACGATCTGTATGCTGATCTTTCCTAACCAGGACCTGGCAGTCATGTGAGGAGAGCAAGGCTGATTTTGAGTGGGGCTAACTCCAGCCCCGTGGGGGGGAGGGCGGGGCGGGTCTGGCCTTTTGTGTGCTATCTCCTGCTTGTGCATGCAGCTGAACAGCTCTCACCCCAGCCTGCCCGCTCTGGCACTGTGCTCCGGGCAGTCGGATTTGCATGCCCGAAACCCATGTGTCCCAATGGGCAGGTGGAGTGGGCAAAGAAAGAGCCTAGCCATTGGAACGGGGCGCCTTTCAATGCCTAGTGACTGATCCCCCTTTGACCCAGGCTGGGAACGCCTAAGAGTTGCTACCGTTCACTGGTGGGTGAGCAGCCTCTGAGAGGCTGTGGTGAGCTGGGTCTAGTTAACATTCGTGCTGATTAGATCCCTTCCAGGGTGTCCCACCAGAGAGGCCAAGAACTGAATAGGCACCAGAGACAGAACTACTTTCCCGTCCCTAGAGGGGGTCTGTCCACATGAGGATGAGGGGCAGGGAGTGGCTTAGGGGAAGCTTGCCCTGCCCTGTGGGCAGAGGGCTCTGGTCCCCAGGGCTGCCAATCCAGCACCAAGAGCAAAGGGGCAGGCCGCATCCTCTCCCACCTCTCCACGGTGAAGGCCGTGATGGAGCAGGAGGAGACGTTGATGCCCAGATACTGGAAGTAGGTTATCCCAAGGCAGCCGGTGTGCCCATAGATCCATGTCCCCGCCAGGCTGTCGGAGATGTTGGGCAAGCCAGCAGCCACCAGGACCATCAGGTCAGCCACTGCCAGGCTAACCAGGTAGCAGTTGGTGGGCGTCTTCATCTCCCGGGTGGTGAGGACCACCAGCACCACCATGACGTTGCCCACGATCCCCACCCCACAGATCACCAGCACCAGGAAGACAGAGATGGCTTTGTATTCGATCATGTCAAAGACGGCGTCACTGCTGGCCAGAGAGATGTTTGTGAGGCTGTCGAACTTGCTGCTGTTCTCCATGGCTGTGGGCAGGTAGGCTGAGGGCACCACTGCCTTCCTACGTGCTTCCAGATGGCGCAGCTCTATAGAGAACTGGAAGGGGCAGGTCCATGTCCCCAGACACCAAGACGCGGCCTTTGGCCTTCTGCCCCAGTCAGACGCTCTGAAGCTTCATCAGACCAAACCGGCTCAGCTTCGTTTGCTGCAAGAAAAGCACAAAGTGAATTATTATTTGCCTCACCCCCGGCAAACCACCTCTCCAATTCCTCCACTCCTCCAAGGGCTGAGCCCGGCACACCTCAAAGGGTGATTGATTTCTCATTGGCTCTGTGGGCATTGACCCAGCTGCTGAGGAGGGCAACACACCGTCTATTGCCTGTCGTTCTTTATCCAGCATAACCCTGTCCGCGAAGCGTGATGAGATCTGAAGCAGCAGGACTGGAAGGGTGTGGGCATCCCAGGGAAAACTTGGTGGGGAGGGCTCTAGATCTGTATCCAGTGTTTTGAATCATAGTCGGAAGGGGACTGAAGGGGGCTGGGGGGAGATATTTATACATTTAGTTGGGTATTATTTTTATATCCAGTGCTTGTTAGAGGGTTATCCTGTTCCTCGGGGCTGGTAGGTGGGTGGTAGGAACATGGGTGGTAGGGCATCTGGTCCATTGCAAAGTACTCCTCAACAGCTCAGCTCCCCTTTTCCTTCAACTCTCTTAAATCACCCCCTTCCTCCACTTCAGCTGTGGCTTTTAATTTGATCCCATCATAGGGGGATGATCGGGCCTTTTTTATCAGTTTAAAAAAAATATCAATGGAGTTTGCTCATTGAAGTCTTGCACCTGCGTGGCTGTGGAGTATAACCGAGGGCTTTGCAGAAACGGCATAAACCACATTTTCCTCTAAAAATGCATAATTTAACATATGGCTGAACACTTCTCCTTTATTCCTCTCTCATTAAAACTTTGTACAGTTATTTAATGGCTATTTAGAAATGGACTAAATGCATAAAATATATTTCTTTTAAAATGAGAAATGCATGTTATATATAAAGACTTTATTCTGTCATCCCCCCCCCAAAAATTTAAATTATTATCTAACTTTATTAGGGTTAAAACTACTGTACTGACTGTTCTCTGCTGCTCCCTTGTCCTGCTTCTCGCGCACACAGGGCCATAAGTGCTGGAACGAGGAGTGCAGGGGGGGCTGCCGCACCCCCTGGCTTGAAGTGGTTCCCATCCTATCCAGGGTTTACAGTGTGGTTCAGTGGCTCTCAGCACCCCCACTGCACACATTGCTCCAGCACGCCTGCCCAGTGCCACTTGCTGCAAGGCCTCTGTTCCTTGCTGGGGGAGCTTTCTGGGGCAGGGACGGCCTTTGTCATGTGTCTGTACAGTCCCCAGCCCAGGGCGGCCCTGGCTGCAATCGCATTGGCCATAATAATGCCCAGACAGAGCCCTATGCTGGGCTGGGGGGGAGATGGTGTCAGTGCGGTTAAGGGTTGCAGGGAGGTTGTAACGACCCTGTCCCCAGCCCAGGGAATTCACGGGTAAGGACGAACCCCAGCCCTGCGCCCCTCTGGCAAGGCCCCGTGAGCGCCCCCAGCCAGGGCGGACTGTGCAACGAAAGAGGTGCTGCAACTCAAGCAATTTGTTTACATTCACAACTGATACTGCAGGCCCGGAGGTGCCCGGAGTCTGAGCTGCCAGGCCCGGAGATGCCCGGAGGTGCCGGGGCTAGGAACGGCAGAGGTGCCGTGGCTAGGAGCTGCCAGGCCTACAGGTGCGGGGGGTCAGCCTTGGCCCACATTAAGCCCTGCCCCAAACCCACCTTGGCTCTGCCCTGGAGGGACCCGTTCGGATTGATTCGAGCCAGGCGCACCATCAGCACCCCTGCCCCCGGGCCTGGCTGGCTCTGTGTTCGCCTCCATCCAGCCCCTGTGCATCACCATAGTAACAGCTCCCCCTCTTCCCCTCCGTCAGTCTCAGAGACTGGGGCAAATTCCAAAACCCCTCTGTGGGGCTGAGTCCCCGCTCTCCCCCCATCGCTCTCCGGCCCTGGGGGCCCTGCCTCTCCCGTTACCAACGCGCAGAGCCCCTCCACGCAGAACCCAGGTGTCCTGCAGAGCCCCTCCACGCAGAACCCAGGTGTCCTGCAGTCCTGTTCCTTGCCTGGTGCGTCGGCAGCTTCCCCAGCTCCGGCGCTGCCCGGTGTTTGCGGCGCAAAGGTCTGGGGGCCTCAGGGCCTGGGGCTCGCTCGCTCTCTAGTTCCCCGGTTCACCCCTCTCCGGCAGGGCCAGGCTGGAGTTCAGCAAGGGCCTGATCCGGCCGCGTGCTGAGCCCTCTCAGCCACCTCCGAAGCGGGGGGAGTTGGGGGCAAGCAGCACGATCGCGCCCGACATGCTCATGCGTTAAGGGGCCTGAGCGGGTGACAGTGGCTGGCTTAGGGGAGGGGTGTGAACACTCCCCACTAGGGAATCTCCCCAGCTCATGGTCAGTCATGTCCAGCGGTCACTGAGCCCCCTTCAACCACAGAAGTTACAGCTGGGTTCGTTCACCGAGCCCCTCCCTCCCTGCCAATGCAGAATCCTCCCCCACAGCGCATCTCCTGGGGCTTAGCGAGGCTGGCTGGGAGCCCACCACGCCAGGATGGTCCCAGGGGGCATTTCCCAGCGCTCACTCCCAGGGCAAGCTAAGCCCGCACCCCGATGTCTGAGCCGGTGCAAAGGGAAGGGTGGGAGTGTGGAGGATCGGAGGCTGGAAAAGGGGTGGTTAGTTTCACGGGGTGGCTTTTTGGTGGTGGTGGTTGGAGGGAGGGGGAGAGAGTTTGGAAGCCGCTCTGGTGATCTGCTTGCCCGCTCCGGTGATGTGAATGCCCGCCGAACCAAACCGCTGACTCCGTGTTCACACGGGTGTGGCTGGGAGCACACGCTGCAGGACCAGCCCGCTCGCTTCCACCCGTGTTCTCGCCCGCCAGCGCTTCGGGGATTCCCCGCCGACGCCGGCAGGTCGGGAGAGGCGAGCTCCGTACTGGGGCCAGGGATCGCCAAGCGGAACCCCGCCGCCCCCTGCACCCCTCTGCTCCAGGGACAGGGGCGGCCGGGGGGCGAACTGCGGAGTGCGGCTGGCTGGGAAAACCCGGGCAAGGCAGCGCGCTCGGAAGGGGACCGCGGCGCGTCAACTGCGCCGGAATTTCCCGCTGGATCAAACCCAAAGAGCCGGCGCGGTTCCCAGGTCCCGCGGGGGTCTCGGCAGCTCGGGCTCGGGCTCTTCGTTGTGATTTTGAATGGATTTTCGGGCTGCCTTGTTTTAGTTCGGAGGATCGTCCAAGGCTTGCGCAGGGGGATGGTCCAATCCCTCCAAAACGATCGAGTCCCCTCGGCGGGGAACTGCAAAAGGCTTGCGGGGAGGGGGGGGGTCTGTTCTCACTTGCAACGAACCCAGATCTCGCCACCTTGCCGCCAGCGGGCTCTCCCTCCCCTGCCCGGCTCTTAGTCTCGGACTCCTGGTTCCGCCTCGTCCGACCGCCCTGCGGGGAGCCCCGGCGGGGTCTCGCTGCTCTTCCTGCCGATGCGAAACACCCGCTGCTTTTGGGCCCCGAAAGCTGCGGTCCCCCGAAGGCGAATGGACCCAGCTGAGCCAACCCGCCCAGGCCTGGGAACGCCAGCCGGCTGGGCCAGGCGGACGGGGATCGTCGGGCCGGTCTGGTCCTTCCAGACTCCAGGCTGCAGCCCCCCGGCAAGGCGCCGCCGGGGGGGTTCTAGGAGCTGCGGGCTCGGCGGGCGCTCGGCCAGCTGGCGGCACCGGGTCACTTCCAAGCTGCTTCGCCACTTAGCAGTTGCCCCGGCCCCGCTCCGCCGCCCGAGGAGCCCTGCGGAGAAGGACTCTGGTTCTTCCCCTCCAGTCAGATGCTAGACCCTCGCTGACAGCCCGTTGGCTCGCCTGGCTCTGTCCATCAGACCCGCCCAGCCCCCCGCTCTCCCCTTCCCCGCCTTCCCTGCACGATCCCCGCCAGCCACTCCAAAGCACCAAAGAAACTTCCCCGCAGAACTTACCTTGACATGCATTTCCTTCCTCCTAGGATCTCAGCTGGAGGCCTGAGCTCCCCCAGGGCGGGGACAGCGGCTGGCGCACCGGCCAGGGACCCAGCCTCGCCTGGGTGGGGTGGTCCCTTCCCCGCCAGACAGCAGCCCATCTCCCTCCCTCTCTCGGTTCTGCGTGGCTGGGGCCGCTGGCTCACAGATATAAGAGGGCTCCCCATCAGCTGATACCGCTCCTCACTCCCCGGCTAACCTATGAGAGAGACGCGTCCCCGCCGCCTCGCTGACAGCAAGAGAGAATCAGGAGTGTCTAGTGTGACAGAAGCCCACTGAGGGCAACTCGCAGGTGCCCCCTCATGCTGGCCCTCCTGCGCCGGACTGAGGCCTTCATTCCCATGCTTACAGGTGTGTGCAGGTGAACAGGCCTGGTCCTCTGGGCTCAGATCCCCACAGGCCACGCCTGTCAAACAGGGAAGCCCAGACATGCCTCCTTGAATGCCCTAGGGCCGGTCACTAGCTCCCGGTGCTCAGGGCTCGGCAGGGTTTCTCTGTACCTCACTGTATGGCCTGGGGGGCTGGAACATTTTGTACAGTGGGGGGTGCTGGGAGCCATTGAACCAAACTGTAAACCCTGCATATGATGGAAACCACTGGGGGGGGGGGCTCCCCCAGCGGGCCTGGCTCCAGCACCATGTTTATGGCCCTGGCCAGAAGCAGTCCCTCCCCTGGATGCACTGAGGGGTGCTGAACAGAGAGTTCCCTGGTTCCGCTGTCCACAGGGCTCCGGTGCTGAAAGTGACCGGCCAGAGCGCGGGCAGGGAGCATGCTGCTCCTTCGCCTCTGGAAGGGAGAGGTGCGTTATATGCCCCGGACAGGGCAATGCTGAGCTACCGTGGTGAGGGGCCCAACAGGGACAGAGAGAGTAAAGGCAGAACTTAATGACTCCCTGTTGTGTCCATTCCCTGGGGGCACCTGGCACTCGCCACTGTCTGAAGTCAGGACAGAGATGGATGGACCTTTGGTCTGACCCAGGATGGCCGTTCTTATGCTTTGCATGGGAAACGGGGTCTCTCCACCAGCCGATTGCACCCCTGGTTTCCAGTGGAGTCAATCAGGGCTTCAGGCCGGGTAAGGGCCACCCCAGAGAGCCTCTCTCTCTGCCAGGGGCCCTCCTGCAGCGTGGAATGAGGAGCATGTCTCTGGCTGGGGAGGGGTGATGGCCAATGGCTGAAGCTCATCCCCAGCCAGTCTCCACCAGTGGGGACCCTAGGATGCCCCCCAGGGGTAATGGAATCTGCCCTCCCCATTGGAGCTCTCAAGGGAGGGATAGCTCAGTGGTTTGAGCATTGGCCTGCTAAACCCAGGGTTGTGAGTTCAATCCTTGAGGGGGCCATTTGGGATCTGGGGCAAAAATTGGGGATTGGTCCTGCTTTGAGCAGGGGGTTGGACTAGATGACCTCCTGAGGTCCCTTCCAACCCTGATATTCTATGATTCTATGAAAGGCAGGACACAGGTGTCACTCCTCATGGGGGAGCCGAGGGCTTTGCTGCAGCCACGGGGTCTCCAGCCCCTGTGCTAGTTAGGGGGAACCTGGCTCAGTGGGTGTTTGTTTGACTAGGACACTGGCTGCTAGCAAACGGCAGAAGCACCAAGGAATCTCAGCTGGTGGCAGGTGGGCCGGGGAGCCCTGTATCAGGACAGAGGCTTTGCAGGTCCGAGGCAAGTATCTGGGGTAATTTTCACAGCCCACGGTGGAATGGCAGCATGGGATGGATTGGGCATGGCCATGCCCTAAAGGGGGGGGCGACCCAGCTCCAACAGTGACACTCTCAGCATCCCCCCTCCCTAGCCAGAGACGTTCTCCTTGGGCAAGCCCCGTAAGCTCACTCTGTACCTCGGTGTCTCCATCTGTACAATGGGGGTGTTGGTGCTTCCCTACCTCAGGTGGCAGTCAAGGTGGGGGATTAGTTAATTAGCTCATGGTTGCAGAATGCTCAGGAAATTCAAGTGCCCCCTTGTCTGTATTCCTGGTGCTGTGAGCACTGGGTGGGGATCCAGCCAGTTGAGCCGTGGGACATTGAACAATGGCCTGTTTCAACTAATTCAAGAGAAATCAGTGTTGGGACAAGAACAAGGATCTCGCCATCCAGGCCCATTGGTAATCTGGCTTGATCAGTGAGTTACGGACACTTCCTTTCCCCTTTCTCTGGATAAGGCCTTCACAGTGGTGTCTCGCGACCCCATCCCCAGGGAACTGAGCCCTAGAGAGGCCAGGCCACACGTTCTACAGCTCTGGACATCCTTTCCTAGGCAGGGATTCTCCTCCCCTGGAAGCAGAGGGGAACAATCAGTGATTTCACTCTGTCGTTGCTCCTCTGTATGTGGCTAAGAACTCAAGCTGCTGTGTGACTGAACAATGATGGGGCCAAAGGGTACCCGATGAAGCCAAAGACAGGAGGCCTGGAAGGCTGAGTTGCTGTTTGTTTGCTGACTGATATAAAGCTCAGCATGGTGCACGTTAGACTCTCCAGAGCCCACAGAGTGGGAGGAAAGGATCAGACCCATTTCTCTGTTGCATGCAGCTGTCTGAGAACAGGAGAGCGGTTCCAGCCAGGAGCGGAGTGGAGAGAGTGGGAGGCAGAGCAAGGTGGATGATTCACAACAAATCATTCATTCAAGGATTTTGCTGCGTCTCTCGGGCCGCTGGTGAGCAGAAGATCACGATGTTCCTTAATGTGTTTGCTGGGGAAGATGATTTGCCAGTTCACTTACACAGCCCCAGCGTTGGCACGGCCAGGGGCAGCATGCCACCTGGACTGGGTGTCAGGAATGCCAGTTGTGTCGGTTGGGCCTAACGCTACGCACAGCTCACACGTGTGGCTGGTTCTGATCCCAGCAGGGGAGAGTGCCACTTTTCAAAGCAGGGTTCTGCTGTGATCATCATGGCTGGGGATTCAGAAGTCCCCTTCCCTGAAAGTTCTCTGGGAGACTCACTATTCCCACCCATGTTCCTGTCAGGAGGCTGTGGGGTGGGATAGGCCAGAAGGTGAGGTAAGCTAGGGAGCAGATAAAGTCCCAAACTCTGGGTCAGTCTGACTCCCTTTGCCCAGGGCCAGGAGCAAAGGAACTCACCTCCTGGGAACTCCTCCAGCTCCCAGCAAGCAGAGAGGGAGAAGGCCCACCTTTCTCCAGAGACCAGCTGGCACAGCATCCCCCACTTTGATTGCATAGCCCCTCCCAGATCAGCCATGGGCTAGGCAGGGAGCTGGGCTCTCCCTGGGAACAAGCTCACCCCCCACTGGGATGGCAAGGAGCACCTTCCCACTTTGTCCCATGAGGATGCAAGAACCCAGTGGAAACTGATTCGGTTAACAATGGGAGCGAATATTCCCAGTGGCATTGTGCACGTGCCCCCTGGCTCTAGACAACACGGGGGAGCCTCATCCAGACATCGTTTCTCAGCACCCTTTGCCCTTCTCCAGCCACTGCCACTGAGGACATCCAAGGGGTTTAATGCTCGTCACCCCAGCACTGCAGGGAGTGAGGTGGGGGAGGTGGGGTGGCGTGATTCCCCCAGGTCGCAGGGCCTGCTAACTCCCAGCCATTGATCGCTGTTAGTACAGTGTCACATACATGCACAGTTCTGAATGGGCCCATCCTGGCACTGCCCAGTCCCCTGGGGAGAGCCAGATCTGCCTCAAGATGTTTAAGGAGACAAGTGGCCAGATCCTCAGCTGGTGTGACTCAGCATTGACTTCGCTGGAACTCCACCAGTTCACACCAGCCGAGGATCAGGCCCCTTGTGTATGTGGCACAAAAGACCCGTCAGCTTTGCAGCAGTTGCCCGCCCTCCCCATGCTAACCAAGCAGTCGAAAGGGGAATTGCAGCCAAAGTGGAGCCAGCGCTGCCTACTCTCCTGGAGAATGCAGGGCCACGGTGAGTCCAGCGTTGAATGAAACAGTTCAAGGAAGGCCCTGGGCCTGTGCTTTGCTGGATGGGTGCCTGAGCAGCGCCGAGAACTACTTTACATACAGCAGTCGCACTGGCTAGAAAGTGGAAACTGACATGGTGGAACAGCCCAAGGATCTGTCTAGTGATGTGCCAGAAGCAGGACTCTCAGGAGCCCACCCCTGCCTGCACGGACAGTTGGGGAGATTTCCCTGCCTCCTGGAGAGTTTTTCTCTACCTCCCCCTTCTCCCATGCATATACATATATATCATGGATGCTAAACATCCTTCCTGCCTGTGGTGACAGCCTGGGATCCATAAACATGTAGGTGGAAACTCAGAGCCAATGTTTAGCCTTTGGATTGCCCCAGGACAGGGATAGTTTAAAAATCCTAGGGCACCCCGAACCTGATGACTGACCTGTCTGATGACTGCACTCCGGGGAGCACCGTGTGGCGCTATATGGTCTGTACGCTGCATGTAGGGCCGCACTGCGCTATACAGTCCATATGCTCTGTGCAGGGAGACTCTGAGCTCTATGGGCCTCAGCTTTGCACAGGGCATTGCTGTGCTCCAGGGGCCAGGCATGCCGCGTTGGGCCAGGCTGGGCTTTCCACACAGGGTGACTGCGACGGGGTGTTCAAACCCTCTGCCAGGCAAGGAAAGGTTAAAACAGCTTTGGGCTCTGGCAGCCCCGCCCTGCCACACCTGCTAGGCATGCCAGTCTTAAAAGCGGAGCCTTGAAAGGGAGGCACTAAATTCAGTAGGGCCCAGGTTGGGAGGTGAACAGACCCCTCCACTTTAGCACCCAGCCAGGAGTGCTGCAGGGGATGGGGCTGCCTGGGGATCCTGTGAACCCTGAGACACTGCACTGGGCCCTGGCTCATCAGGTATCTCCCA